TCCTGCCCGCTGGCTGTTAGTAGCACCTGCTGAAGTGAAGCCCAGTCGTGGCCTTGGGGCTGGAGCCCTGTCTGGTTGGTGAAGATGGTGGCACTCAACCAAAAACGAACGTGCCCCTCTCCACCTCCCAGGGAGGTCCCCCTGGACACCGCGGGGTCCTGCCCCGCCTGTGGTCATGGCCGTGTTGCGAATGGTGCACACTGGTGGAGGCTCAGGTGGGGAGTCGCTTGCCGTGGCACTGGCGAGACGCTCGTGTTGGGAAGAGGCAGGAGGGACTGCAGGAGGATGGCACAGGGAGGAGGAAGAAAGTCGGGAAGGTGCCCGGCCGATCTTCCCATGACCTCTTATATCTGTGGTGGAGAGGCGGAGGCTGACCCAAGGCAGCGCTTTTCACAAGTTAATGTTTATGCGACAGACTGAAGGCGTTTTAATTATCCTGTGAGCAGTTTGTCACCTTTGAGAGAGCCGCTGGCAATGCCGTCGGGGCACCCAGAGGCGCTGGGAGGGTGTCGGCGAAAAAGCAGGGCAGTGTGGCCCCAGGCACTGGGTCAGCCACTATGGAAAAGGCTCACGGGGCGGGGGGCAGGGGTGAGGGCTGATGGTGCCTACAGGGAATCATCATGAGTTTTATCACCTCCTACATTTGAAGGAAATAGAAGGTCATTGCCCTGTGTTTATGTAGCAATTTTCATCATCCCCATTCATAGACTTTCTTAGGACAGGGAAAGACCACTCTGCTTTCCAGGCCTGGCACTAAACTATAACCTCTGGTACACACCTGCACTGTGTTTGTTAGAGATCCTCTGGGCCACAGCTCCAGGAGAGGCAAAGGACAGAGCTGCTACCTGAAACCGCCCCCAGCTTCAGCCCAAGCAGAGGATAAACCCAAGATATGGGATTTGGGCAGAGCCCACCCCAGCCTTAGAATCCTGGGCACGGGGAAAGCGGCCCAGCTCTCTCATGACCGTAAAAAAAGCAGTGTTTCAAATGGGAGCCGAGCTTTCTGGTATTTTCATAGAAAATGTTTCTCAGTAGCTTTTTTTTTATGCAACAGGAGAGAGAAATCATCTCCACATTTATCAATTAATAAGCAGCGGCAGCAAGAGCTCGCACTGATGGCAGCTCTCAGTTAAGTGCGATGGGTCATGCAGATTTGTGACTCATGGGCCACGTTAAGTCCCAAATGGTCTCAGTCGGGCTGGATGGCTCTGGTGGAGGGGGAAGGATTGAAGACAGTTGTTGTTTCCATCTTAGGAAGCAGCTATTTACTGTCGTTATTGCACATCAGGGAATACTTTAAAACACTCAAAATCTATCAGCCAGATTTCAAACTCCGTTAGCAGGGAGCAGGAAGTAGGTCCTGCAGATGTGGTGTAGAGCTGTCCGAGTTCATGCTGGAGTCTGGCAGGCAGCCACGGCCCCTCCCTGGCCCGTCTCGGGGAGGTGATCCTGCTACGCACATCATGAGTGAAATTCTTCAAGAGCCAAACCTGAAAACCAGGCCAGGGCAGCTCCCTTTGAGAACTTCTCACCCCTTTTACCCAAGGCTGGAACAGGTAGGGGTGGATCCGACCAGAGATACTGCCAAGACCCCTTCCAGGGCAGCACTTCTAACTGGGTGACCAGGGCTGCTGAGTCCTCCACTCTAATTTAGTCGTACAGTACATGCGCTTGTGTGCATGGAGGGATGCAGAGGCCCTCACTGTCACCTCAGGTGCTGCCACCCCCTCGCTGTCACCTCAAAAACTGGTACATGCAACATCAAGCTGCAGTCTTACCTGAGACCAGCCGTGGTCCAGGGACAGAACCATTGTGTCAGACATAATCCCAGCCGCACCCTGTGAGCCCCTTCTGAGCAACCAGACCACACAGCACACTATGGATGCCCTGGGAGAACAAGTAACCACACTTTGCTTCAGCGGTACCACTAGCTGGTCCCTCTTATTCAGCCTCCCAGGAGCTCCAGGGATCTCTGCCATTGGCATCCCACCAAAGCAGCTGAACGTGGCCTCTGGGCTCTGCCCCTCACCCTCACAGGGCAGCGCACAGCCAGGGACAGGCAGGGAGCACAGAGGACCGACCAGAGAGCATCTGCCGGGTGGCTCAGGCAGCACGGAGGCAACAAGGGAAATGAGGAGGGTTCCCCCAGCCACGCATCTGCTCTGGAGGGCCCACAGCTCGTGGAAAGGCAGCACCCCCCAAACCTCCCAACCAGCTTGGCTTGGCACCAGGTACAGCAGTTGTTGCTTCCCCGAAACACGCTGGCACTAACTCAAGGCCTCCATGGGCTCAAAACACTTAAAATAAAAGTCACTATTCTTAACTGTAGAAGAGCTACAATGGGGGTGCTCTGGACGCAACGTGAATTCTTTGCAATCGGGCTGACAGTGCTGGGCTCACCAGATGAAGATAGTAAAGAAAAGAAAATTACTGCTCCTCCCCACACCCAAAACCACAGCACACCCTAACAAACCCCAGCTCTCCAAGAGCTCATGCTAGCACTCCCCTAAAGTCGTCTTTCCACCACTCACCCTGCCTACAACACACAGATGGCTGAAATAAAGACTGGAAAGGCTTTCCATAACTAATATGAAAAAACATTGTTGTCTGATGAAATCTTTATACTCCAGGAGATAGCTATTACCTCGCTACAGCTTTTCTTCTTGTGTTTATCAGCGCCAACACATAACTTTCTCTACAGCATTTCAGACATCCCTGTCTTTGGTTTACTGGTACCAGGGTGACAGGCACCCACTATTGCTGTGCTTTCTCGCAGCGGGACCAGTACATCTCAAATGGCTGGTGAGAAGGACGGACATCATGCACAAATAAAGAGAAATCCTCAGCAGCTGAAAGTCAGAAACTACTCTTTTTTTTTTTATTATTAATACCACAAACCTTGCTGTTAATTTTCTTAAATTCACAAACCCAACAAATCAGGCAATCCTGTATAACCTCACTTCCCAGACAGTTGTCTTTTCCATGTCCTGTGTGAAACAAAATTGCAGCAGACTATTTATGACTGGATTACTTTTTTTTTCTAACATAAACATCTCAAGTTTTCCTTTGCCATTTGTCTTTTTTTTTCCCCCTCACCAATTCCCAATAAAACACAAATGTATGTATGGGAAAATGAGTAACCTTCTCTTAATGACTTTAGATTAGAGTGCAGAATTCCAAGACGGTGAATACACTGTGGTACTTGGGCATGAACCCCCTGACTTCAAGACCTCTTTCCCACAGCCTCATACCTTATATTTGAGATTTAAGCCTCTACAAAGGGCTGCTCTAAAAGGTCCTGGTATAAGAAGCTTCTGCTTTGACTGAGCAGCCCTTTACACTGCAACAGGAGAAGTAGTAACAGCGAGTACATGCGCAGGGATGAGATGAAAGTTCATTTGACTGACAGGTATCTGAGCACTTCCACCCAGGCAAGAAGCCACGGCAAGGTCAGGGCAATTGCTCTTGGGAGAGTTACCACAACAATTTTGTTCTGTCCTACAGAACCAAAATAGACTTTGGATAGCAGGCATTTCTGGCTCAAGTGAAGGCTGCTTTGCTGAAGAGCCTGAGGGAGGACACCAGCAAGGTTTAGTAACTTTACAAAGATGACGTGTTTGTGTCCTTTTCAACAGGAACAGACTTTTTACTCCAAGCAGAAAAAGAGTATATGGGTTTTGTCCTAACTGCATGCTTCATCTACCTGACATAATGCCATCGTTCGAAGAGCAGAGACCATCAGAGCAAAAATAGTGCTGCAAAAATGAAGACTAGCATTTCAGTTGTAAAATCATTTTTTATTGTTACAAATATACATATGAATAAAATCCCTTCGACCCGTTACGTAAGTGGGTAGCTGTGAAATGTGCACCCCCTCCCTCAAAAGCTCAAATGTTTTTACAGATGTCAAACTATTTCTCTGGTAGAATTACACATTGAAAGGAAGCTAATATGCAGACAGAACTGAAGAAGGCCTCTAGAAAACACCAATATTAATAAAATTTCAATTGCCCTCATTCCAACCAACTATATACATCAATACATGAATGTGGAAGCATACCATGATTTTACGTCATCCAAATCTTTCTCTGTTGTGCTTTTTTGACGGTACACAAATGTAAGCGTTGGAGCTTTATGTACAGTACGGGAACAGGAAGAAAGAAGCTCCCTATGGGAGAATGTAAAAACCATACCCAAGCATTTAATATATATAATCTATACAAATTATTTTATTAGTGTGCTCTTTTCATATAATTACAATGTGCAATTGCATACTGCAAGGATATATTTATAGGTAAGTCACGTGCAGATTTGACACATTTACATTCAGCAGTACAACACATTACCTGCTGTGCAGTGTATTACTGTAAGACGGTCCAGTTAATTTGCTTTGCTCTCTAACTGCCCTAATGCAGGGCACTCTTTGTAGCTGCTTCAGAGAAATTCAAGTAGAATACATGAAGGAATCGCTGGCTTTAGCAAAGGCGTGGAAAGGAACGTCTGCATTGTACAGAACTGGAATTAAGGACCGAATCGATGCCAAGTGAGTGTACTGGAAATCACGATTGGAAGATCAGGTTTTCTGCATGGAAATGTACCTGTGGTGAAAGAGCAGCTGGCTAGAAGGGCTGTTGATTGCCTTACCCTGATTGTTACAAAAAGCTCTTGCACTACGAAGCACTTGTACTGATTGCTAAACAAAAATAAAATCTTTATCCGCTTCTTCGCCAGAGTCACTGGACTTGCTTCCCTGATGGCCGTCTTTGCTCAAGGATCTCTGCTTCACTTCCTGGAACTCGTGGGACTGCTGCCCAGGGCTTCTTTTCACAGCTGTAGAAAACAGAAATATGTCTTACTAATGATTGTAGGAGAGAGAGAGAGGGGAGGAAAAAAAAAAAGTCATTCATGCACACAGGACCTGCTCCTGTGCCCACTGAACTCATTTGCACTAGTGGGAGCAGCATAGGTCCATTAATTCTTCAATGCAGAAAAAGGTGAGAGAAGAGAAAGAGTTTGAGCAAACTTTATTCCACTGTTGGTTGGTGAGCAGACAAACTTGAAATATGATACTCAGTATTTCACTGTGACATGGATAAACATTACAGTGAGAAACGGCCTGGACACTTTCTTCTCTTCACATCACTTCAAAACCAGAAGAGCATTCTTTTTCCAGCTGGGCTGCATCACAGATGATACACTCCTGACCATGCAGGTGGACGTCCTCGCTGGACACCCCTCAGACCAGTGGCGCACGTCCCCGGCAGGCCTGTCACCCTCGCAGGACACATCTGTAATGTCCCTTTTGACTCAGCAGCCTTAACCAGGACCTTTACCCTGGCATCGAAGTTACCTGAACTGCTGCTCCCTGTCCCACCATCACTGTCAGGTCCCACTGCCCACCCTGTTCTCTGATGGGGGGGACACTCACGGCTCTGAGCCCAACCTTCATCTCTTCCAGCTGAGACCACAGCTCTGCACCTCGCTGTGCGTGGCAGTGGGGAGAGCAGGAGGACATACCCACCTCCCACGATCTAAAAGCAAACAGACAGTACTCATTTTGTTCACCAGCACTCTAAAATCTCAGCAAGGCCAGCGTTTGCCCAAAACCTATGAGCTTTGAAATAAAATGGAAAGAAGGTTGTAAAACCTTGTTAAGATTTCTGATTTAATCAGTAGTCTAAAATTGCTATGGTAACAAGAGAGTTATTATACACATCGATGGCGGTGACATAAAACAAGGATTGATAGCTTTAGAAATCTTGTACTTCCAACTAAAATCAACCTTTAAAGACACAGTGGCCCTTAAACGTAACCTCGTTGCAAGTCGTCTCACTTCATCCCCACAGAATTAAATGTTACAGTTAGGAGACCTTCTTTGCTCCACCATTTCAGATAAGGACGTCAGGCTTTGGTTCACACTGATATCCTGGCGCCTGTTCACCTTTGTGCACGCTCTCTCGACAAGGCATCAGCAGCCGTGGTGGCCCTGAAGCACCACCTCTCCTTCCCTGTGCACTGCTCACCTAGAGCGTCACGGCTGCAAGGGACAGCCCGCCCTGTCACCAGCACGCAGCTCCAGCCACCGCAGGGGCAGGCCAGACGCTGATGCATCTCTGTGGCTGTTTCAAAGCGTGCCAGGCTGTGTTAGGGTCTGCCAGGGACATGGAATACGCAGAGAGGAATCCCAAGGGAGCTGATGCTGCTGAGCTGCTGGGGCAGTCTCAGCAGGGATGCTCCCTGTATCCCTGGCAATACAGCACGACTCTCCAGGCAGCACAGGTGCATGCCAATAGGTCATGAAATGGGACAGAAAACCCTGGCCTGTTTTTGTTTGGCATAGACATTGTCCAGTTCTGAATGTCTGCTGTGACAGAAGTGGAACGGACACACCCAGCACGCAACTTGCGGAGACTCACCTCCGCACACATGGCACATTTGCTACCCAAAGAGTTTTCTTGAGTCCAAAATACCCATTTCCCTACCTGTGCTAGTCAAAATGTGGGAGGAAACGAGAGCCAGCAGCTACATGCTTGCTGCATTCTTATCTCAACTTTGCAAGCTGGGAAAGAAGAGCAAAGGATTTTGAGAAAGTTTGTTAAAGCTAGTTAATGGGATTGGAGAGGATTAAGATACCTAAATTCTATTAAAAAAAAATTAGGCATTTCCACCTTCACAAACACCACTGCTTTTCAAAGAAACAGCTGCTGGGAAATCTTTGAGACACTCTTGATACTTGTACCTCCTTCTACTTACATGGCCTTTGTTTGAGCCTCCATTCATTTTTCAAACAAAACCCAGAACACACCCTGCAGCAGCCGTTTTAGTTTATGGACTGGCAAATCAAGACAGGTAGTTTGCCCCCAAAATACTTGAGAAATGTATCAGGCACTTAAGTCCACATACTGCAAGCAGGCTTCTGTCACAAGAGCTTACCCTTGCCCTGATGAAACCATATGCAGGTGACTCGCGTAGATCTGTGGCAGCATCTGTTTTTGAAACTTACTTTATCAGAGAGATATCTTAGAACAAACTAAAATACAGTAATTTGATTATGATGAGGAGGGGAGATTCCAAGTTTGAGTGGGATAAGTTTGATTCTACAACATGAAAAGGAAATAAGTTTATATGTTTTGGGCTGAGGATGTTACAAAAGAGATACATGATATCTTATAAATAGAAAAACTGTGAATAAATGTAATTGCATAAGACGTTCAAATATCTCATTAAAACACTTTGGGGGAAAAAAGTAATTTTTGAATCATTGTTTAAACAAACCAGTTAAGAGGTAAAAAGCAGCATGTAAACACATACCATTTGAGAACAGAAGCTTTTATATTTTAAAAACACATAAATCAACCGGACATTTTTATAGCCTACTGAATGAGTTCAGTATAAGTCAAAGCTGCAATTCCGGAAGCGCGGCTTAAGCATGCAGCACAGTGCCGGGCGTGGGTTCTTTAGGTGTATTTTTGTTTGTTTATGCAGCTGAAAAGCAAAGTATTATGTCAAAATAAGCTGATTTTCCCAGTTCTCAAATGGTTTTTTGAGTGATGTACTGAAACTGGCACTAACAATATTGAGGCTGGAATGTATCTTGAAATACTTCAGGGCATGCACCTTAAAAAGGAAAGGTACGTGGGCACCCAAAGCAGCAGAGAGCCCACCTGCAGCATGCTTACATGGCAGCGTGCCACCGCCACTGCAATGAGCAGTCACGGCTCCCAGTGACCCCTCTTCTGCAGAGGGGCTGCAGGTGCCATATGGTACCGGCCACTGGCATTGCCACGAAGCAAAAAAACACACACATTTCTTGCCTGGAAATTTTTTCATGCCATGTATTTCCCATGGGGACAGAAAGATGATTAGCATCCCATGAGATTTTTGCCCTTCTCACAATCCAAAGACAAACCCACATCCTTTTGTGGCTTCTTTGCTACTACAGTTTCTTAACGATTGTTAGTGCCAGTTATCAAGCACCGTCTCGATGAAAAATGAAAACTTCTAACCAGAAGTGGGCTGTGCCTTCCTCTGCCCAAGCACATTAGCTTCCTCTTCTGCACTGGTGGAATACTGCCCCGAAGTGGTTTTCACGCTGCCAGATGGCTTGGCACAGTCAGGAGCTGCATCTCTTTTTTGACAATCTCCTGTTTGCTCTAGCAGGGAAAAGGATTCATTTATACCCCTAGGCTCTTCTGTAGGCCCACATACGGAAAGTAATATAAATAATTTCACTTATCCATCCCATTTAATCAACTGTTGAAAAGTATTAATCAATATACCAGATGTTTGCTTAAATTTAGTCCAGATATTTCTGTACGTTGGTAACTGCAGCCCGACCTTACAGGTACGCTGTGTGAAGAGGTTGAGATTGTCCCACAAAGTACAGTTAAAACTCATTAACATAAAGCAATTTATAATCAAGTATCATGTAATTTGCAGCTTTCTTTCACAGGAGATATGATTTTGTTTACTAACTTAGGCAGATTTGCAGTGATTCACCAGTTGCAGAAATAAATTGAGCATGCTTGCCTGAAAGGTGGCAGAAAGCAAGGACAGAGGAATGACTGAGGGAAGAAGTAGAACAGTAACAAAGAGAAAGAAAAATCTGAAAAAGAATTAAAGTTAAAAGAAACAGAATTTACAAAAAACGAACAATTTTATGCAAAGCATAGCAGCTCTGTAAGGACCTGGAAACACAATTTTAGCCATTCTAAATTATAATTGATAAAATTCATACAGTGCAAAGTAGCAGCAACTAGAAAACTGTGTTTGGCCAAGTCATCTGTGGAGGCCTAAAGTCTATGGGAGCAAGGAGTGAGGAAAGCACAGTGTCTGACCCCTTTTGTGTAAAGATTTGCAAACAGCAAGTACATTGTAAAAATAAAGCGATTGTCCCTCTTCTCATGTGACAACCACAAACTGCAAAACCTTGTCAAAGCTCTACTGTGTTAGAGATTGCTGTAACACAAAAGGATTGAGTTACGATCCCATATTCCCTGTTTCTCCAACATGTCCCCTGTCAGGACAGGGAGACAGAGAAGGCGCGTAGCACAGAAATGGTGAGATTAACTTCAAGTTAAAATATACCTGCAACAAGTCCCATTACACTGTGTTTCTCCAGTTACGTAGTAACAAGTTCTCTCTCGCAGTCTGGTGAAAAAACAAGGACTCTGGAATATGCAGTTATCAGACAGCAGCTGACAGTGTCTGTTGTGGCAAGAGCCTTTGACTGCAACCATTACCATTCTCAATATGATGGCACCGGCGCAGCGAGTCTAATCCCTAAGCTGTAGCCCAGTTCAAGTGTCGCAACACAGTCTCTGTTGGGACCAAAGGCAGGAAAAAAAGACCTCAGTTTTGCCTTGCAAGCCTCATAATGCCACAGCTGCTGGGAGGCACTTCAGACACCCCGATGTCTTTTCTGGACCCTGAGCCACGGACTGCGGCAGCTTTTGGCAACATGGACTGTCTTTCCAGGCATAGGAGAGGTCCTTGGTTGTGCCATGTCTTACTAGTCTTACATAACTCGGCAAGACTGTGGTGGTTCTGCTGGCCTACTTTTATGGCACAAGAGCAGCCCAACAGCATCATACAGGTGGCTGAAGTGAGAGCCACAATCTGTAGACACATACCCCACATGTGCTGACATGTGATCATCAAACAGTAGCCACCCACAGCAAATATTTTCCAAGCAGAGCAAAACCCAGACTGTGAGGTAAGTTTCATAAAGGAAATGGTAGTTTTAGGGGAGAAAAGGAGAAGCTTCTCAAAATACACCGCTGGACCATCCCACTCTGGGGATGGCTTTGCCCAACCTCTTATCTAGTGGGTTTTGCCCATCCTCTTATCTAGTGGGTAACAGTGGGCTTTGTGGGCAGCACAACTGCTCAGTCTTCACAACCCAGTGTTACATATCTGCCTTGACTCACCCGCCCCTACCCTACACTCTGAAAAACTGCAAGCAGAGTGTGAAAGGGAAACCCCTCTTTGTCTCACAGCTTGAGTGATGGGAATCACCTTGGGACAGAAACAGGGCTCACTGTCATCTTGCTTGAGTAGAGTCCCAGGAAAGAAAAGGTCTCACTCTCAGAGGTCAAACCTTGTCATTTGTGGAAGCTAACACCATGTTGAGCAATACTTCTGTGACTACTTCTCCAAATATCCTACACTATCAGAGGAAGCCTTAGCTCTTCTAAGAGCCAACTGTGGACAAGCAAACACATCAGCAAAAGTAGAGATCCAGGGCACACATGAAAAGCAGCAAATAGAAGGCAGCAGCTTACTGTCGTGCATAAAAGGTACCAACCCCTACCCTGGCACACAGAGACACATTGCTCAAGGAGGAGGTGAGCTCAGTCACATGCAGTGACTCCACAGAAAGGAGTACAAACAGAGCAACAGGCTGGCTACAAGGAGTAAAGTCACGGCTGCTCCTCTGGAAAT